AATACGATATAAACCCTTATTTAGCCTAATTCATATTTACAAAACTATACGATATAATCGATATTATTAATATGGAAAAACTTACAGGCGCGGTTGGTGGAATATAACTCCACAAATTTTGATTGACACGTGAGGGAAATTGTGTGATGACAAAATAACACGATATGTTCTGATTACTATCAATTTAAACTAGTAAGTTTAAGGCATGGTGCCTTAAGAAAAATTGCTGGAACTTCCCGTACCATTTTTTTTTTAAGAGCATTAATTTTTTTTTATATTTTGAAACATTTTGAAAATGTTGAATTTTCTGAAGCAATTGTGCAGCGTGGCTGTGTTATACAATAAATATCGAAGTCGCATTCGCAGCCTAACGGATAAACATTGGTACGAAACCCACATAAATGTAAACAAAATTTGTGCTCATTATTAAGGGGGTATTCTACTGTAGAATTTTGAAAAAATAGAAAAATTTTTTTTTTCATATTTTCAAAGTTTAGTTATTCAAAAATATGTCATTGAAAGGATTTTTCAAAATTATTATTATTTCCTGAGTTATAGCCGTTTTAGTGACGTGACCTCGGTTCGGGTCCGACTTGTCTCAAAACTTTGAACGCGTTTTTCTCGGAACTACTTTTTTCGAGCTGGCGGTAAGGATATCTCGAGTTCTAATGAACCGATTTACCTCAAATTTGGAGAGGATCTTCTCTATACATCGCTTTATCGTATGGACCTTGCCCAAAACTATAACTTTTCATTAAGTATTTTTAAAAAATTTGGAATTGTTAAAAAAACATGAAAAAAACTAATTTTTTTTTCAAACTGCCGCCATTCGAACAAAAATTTTTTTTTCAGCTTATCCAAGGTTCATACGATAGCGACATCTATTATAATTAAGAATCCATCTATTTTTTATGTTTCTAATCACCAGGAGGGTTGGAATCATGTACGCCAGGACACCCTCTTTTTTTGGGAACCCCCACTTTGACGGCTCATAACTTTGTGAATTTTAATTATTTTTTTTTAATATTTTTTTTATATAATAATAAAATATCAATAAACAATGATAAAAAAATCTATAGTAAAAATATTATTTGTTTCCTTTATACAGCGCTTCAAAAACCGGGCGAAATTCATGACTCTACAGTAGAATACCCCCTTAAAATCTTTATAAAACATCTGATAATTTGATGTACATATGTCTAATGATCGTTTTTGACCGCCAATTGGCATATTTGTTTACTCTTTTCAATGAATGTCCGAAAGCGCTTGACCTGCTTACCCAGAGATTTAATCAGTTGTTCATTTTGTCAATACAAGTAAAACGCTTTTTAAATTATTCAAATTGGACGCTTCTTTCTCTCAAGGACTGAATTACCATTTTTGGCACTTTTTGCCCTGTCACTTTTTGCCATCTCCGGAACGGCTGGATCTGTCAACGCCAAAACCTAATCAGCACGTCTCCTTATCAATAGGAATCGAATGTTTTTTGAATCATTTAAATCGATTGAACCGTATGCTCAAAATCGTCGACGAAAATTTGTATCCAAACCCACACACATACATACATTTTTTCTAAGGTATGCCAAAATGTTCAGAAACCTTTGAAACGTACAAATATATACAAATCTCCATTTTCAATTTTTTGCGATTACTATAACTTACCCTAGGAGAAGTTAATAAGTAATTTAAAAAAATATCAATTTTTATTATTTTAAACATAACACTATTATAATTTAACTAAATACTGACATTTCAATCCTCCATGAATGCGCGTAACTTCCTGTTCACTTTCCCAATTTTCCGCAGTTTTACCAAATAATTATGGCTTTTAGTAATCGTCCAAACATCAATGAAAATTTTTCCTTATCAATATCTTATTCAAATTTCACGTTTGGCAAATATTCCAAAATGTTCAGAAATCTCTCAAACGTGAAAATAAGCAAATGGAATTTACCAAGCAGTTAAACATAACTTTTGAACGTTGTAAGATAAAAATATGACTTTTCTTTTGAATCCTAAAAGTTGCAAGTTTACTGCATTGTTGCACCTGTCTTAAAAATCATATATCCTATTTTAAACTTTCCTCTATTTTTCACAAAAAAATTAAATGTAGTTACTCATTCAACCTTGTACAGCCCTGTTAAATAAGCTTTTACCCATACTACAGAAACTGCGTAAGAACAGAGAAAATCGTAATAGCCAGCGATTTCATAACCCCCATACTCTGCACAATTTCGGAAATAATCAGTCAAGCTCAAACAGATCAAACGAGCTATTTGGAAATGCCCAGCGTTTTAACCCATAGAATAGAAACATTTTGTCTGAGTCCCTCACACTCAAATATTGAAAGCTCAATAGTGTGAAAATACGGTAAACCCTTTGTTTTAATCCGATCGACATGAATTTATTGAATAACTGTCACAAATATCCATCTTTACCATATCCATAAACTTGTCATAAAAGTAAAATTTATAATAAAAATACTTAACTCATCTCCAAGATGATTTCCTAATATCCTAAAATTTAAAATTAGGTTTTCAATTTATCTACTATCAAATTATACTCTACAAAAAGACAAGTAATTTTTATTAATTAAGATTGAAATTCTCAATCTAATAACAAGAAGTTCATAATCCCAATAAATGCATAATCTAATAAACAATAAGGAGTTCATAATCTTAATAAATGCAAAATTTACCGGCATTCATTAATATTGGACGTATATTGAAAGTGGAAGGATAATGTATAGATAGTAATTTTGCTTGACATGGGCTAATGCAAAGGGATATTGCAAACATTGACCCTACAAGTAATCCTATAATCTTCTCATTCTAGTCGATAAAGGTTAATCGTATTTACATAGAGAATTATCTTTATCAAATGTGGATTAGATTGAGTGTCATATTTATCGTGAAATAATAACTGACTGTTTTATAGTATAATCAATAATTTTATAATATGCAATTAATATCAGTAATAATAAAATTAGTAAAAATAAAAGTCTAATAACTGCGCATAACATTAATAAAAAAAACATGAATGTCTTTAAAAATATATTTGAAAATCTATACGTTTCGGCTATAGACCTAGATTTCATTCAGTGGAAACTAAAAATTAAATTTAAAATCTAAAACAATTGAGCTTGAAAAAATATAAAAAGTACTACAATTTGCTAATCTTAGTGGTAAGCACAAAAAACAAATAATCTATCGTATGAGGATATGGTAATGCAATATAGTATATTGCATATAGTATATGGAATATTTAAGTTAGAATATATAATTATACTAACACTAACATAAAATTATCACAAAGTGTGAAAAATATGTGTTATTTGTAAATGAAGAGAGTATTAAAAAAAATATTTTTACCAAAATTCTAACATGTGTGAAACTAATTGTAAATTTTTTGCAACCTTTCTCATTGTATTGTAACCAATTTGAAAATACTATGTAGATAAAGAATATCTGTCTTGAGTTCATTGCGTTTATACATCGACCTATTGTTAAAATTAGCCAAAAAAGACCCCTCACAATTGCGTCTTTTATATAATTTTATCTCAAAACGTACTATAGTCGGGTTAAAAAAATTTATAGTATGTTCTCAAATCCTAATGTATTCTATAAGCATAGTTTTAAATTGTTTGGATTTTTTTTAATTGTCTGTAGTCAATAATATTGTAGTCTTTACATTAAATTATGGCTTGTTTTCCCAATATAAATTGAATTGCAATTTAGGCAATTAGTTTCATAGACCAGATATAGATAAACAACTAGTGTCAGTAGTACATTATTATATAAAAAAGATCAATCACAATTGTGTCTTTTATAAATATTTTCCTCAAAACGTACTACAGTTGGGTAAAAAAATGTATAGTATGTTCTCAAATCCTAATGTATTCTATAAGCATAGTTTTAAATTGTTTGGAATTTTTGTATAGTCAATATTGTTGTGGTCATAAAATTCTGGCTTGTTTCCCCAATATAAATTCAATTGCAATTTAGACAATTAATTTCATAGACCAGATATAGATAGAAACTAGTGTCAGTAGTTGTGCTAAAATTATTGACTAGTCGGATATGAAATATAAAACGAGTGTTTTATAAAATAGTTTTTTCTAAGTTTTAATTTATGGTAGACATATGACACTAGGGACTGTCTCTAAGTTAGTTAAATTATTATTAAGTTAGTTTATCTGAAATTAGTAAAAAAATTAATAAAAGGGGTAAAAGTTATTGGTTTAAATTTTTGAAATTAAGGGACCGATTCTGGGGTAAAAATAGACCAATGTTATGGTAAGACTATGTTACGTAGTGTTTTGCATATAAGATAGTACTAAAACTGTAACTTCACTCGTAATGTTATTATGCCACATCACAAAGATACTTTTTTGACGTTTGTGCTTGATCTAGCTTAGGTTTTTTATCTAAAACTCCTGCCTGCACATCAATCACATAGCATCTTGACAGTTTTTAGTACCACTTTATATTAAAATGCTACGTAGCATAGCCTTGTGATAAAATTGGCCTATTTTACTGCAGATTCGGCTCATAACTTAATATTGCTGTTTTAGAGATTAATACTTTTATAAAATGTGGCCCTACTATCAATTAACCCGTTCTCCAATGAACCAGGGTGATCATTAATAAAGTGACCAAGTGCATTTAAATCATATCACGACCGAAGCTCGTGGTATATTTTATTTTTCAACACAACTCTACATATGTGGATGTATGTATGTGCGTCTTGTTGAGTTTTAGATCATCACATATACGCGTTGCTTTACCAGAGTAAACAACGAGTGTTCGAAAGACCAAATGTGCTATCATTCTCATTTTATATGTGTACAAGTGCGATCGCATTGTAAACAAACTAATTGTAAGAGAAGTTATTGTATTTGTAAACATTGGTATAAACAACAATAGATTGAACTTTGCACAAAAATCAGATTCGATTTATTAGTTCTTTAAAATTAGTGCATGTGATCAGATGTAATAATCATGTCGAGGAAAACTATATTAGGTAAGAGGAAAAGCACAACTTTATAGAGACAATAAAATATATAAAGTGCGATTAATATAATATCTATTTAATTTAAATATTAAAATACATCGATTGTGAGTTTATGAGTAATGGGTAAATGAGTGGATAAAAGTGATTAATTTAAATTTAATAGCGGAAAACGGTATTTTAAAAAAAAAACTAATTCCACGTCAATAAGGAAGTGAAATCAAAATATTAATATACTAAATGTAATGTGTATCTACGACTTACTCTAGAAATATTTTCATGAAATGTGTATTAAATAATTAACCGTTTATTATGTACGTTTCGACTGTATGTGTGTCATCATTCAGCACGTTGAACAAATTCAAACCAGGAAAAAACACAACACATAATTTTTAAAGACATTGTTTAAAGAATAAAACAAATCAATAAAATGAAATAATGAACTAAGAGTTAAATAATAAAATTAAGTAGCCAGTCACGTGGTTAACAAATTGTAAACAAAACTTATATTTCATTTACAATTTGTCATGTGAAATAAATTTATTATTTAATTTTTAGTTCACTTATTTATTATTTAGTTTATTATTTTATTTTAATTGTTTGTTTTTCATAAAACAGAATCTCTAAAAAAATGTGTGTTTCGTTAACAACTTCTTGATAATATAAGAAGTAATTAATTTTTTGTCATCTTATTCAAAACGTTCAGAACTTATTTTTATGGAGTAGTCGCAAAATAAATATCGTAAAAATAAATTCGTTAACAAAAATGATTATTTACATTATGATTGATTGAATTATAAACACCATATGATAAAACACGTGCGCAATTTATGTAAGCCACAAACGATATCAATTTGGACTTAAATGTATATTTAATAATATTATCTGAAAATAAATATAATTTTAATGATACCCTTCAAAACTTTTTATACCATTATTTTATTGGAAATTTCCTATTTTACTCGGAAAAAGAATGAATTTTCAAAGCAAAATGACGGTTGGCGGAATAATATAAACTATAAAAACAAAGTAATTTTTTGAAAATATAACTTAGAAAATTCTTAAGTATTGGTTAAGGCTAAGGTTATTTCATATTTTACTCGGAAGAAAGTTCTTTTTTTCAAAGCAAAATGACGGTTGGCGAAATAATATTCACTATGAAAAAAAGCAATTTCTTGAAAATACAACTTCGAAAATTCTAAGATTAAAGTTAAGGTTATCAAAGTTCTGGACAATTTTGTTGAAATTAGCTGTTTTTTTTTCTAATTTCTTTCTAAATTATTTTTTCACTGTAATCCAATGATCCGAACATTCCATTAACCTGAAACCCTCTAGTTTTTAATAGTGTCGGATGATCGAGATTCCTCAGAATTTAGCAAGGAGTACGTCAAGAATTATAATAAATTTATCTAACTAAAAAGTTTACCATATTACATGAGTAGGTACATCGCCATTTTAATGATTAAATTTGCTAAAATACCTAAATATTTATAAAATGGAAATTATTAACACTATTATATGGAATATATTTTTCAAACTTTTAATAAAAAAAATGTTAAATTGTTTACAGTTACATTTGATTCTCCCTTAATATTTTTGATTGTAATAGTCTTGAATAGCTATGAAAACTTAAACTCCTAACTATGTTGCTTTTCTATGGCTTTTTCAAATCCAATCCAATATACTTAGCTTATCTCTATTTGTTATATTTTATTATTACAATTTCTCTAATACTGATAATTTGTAATATACAAAAGTTTAAAACAGACAATCCTAACTATTATGTTATCGAACATATGGTGAACCCTTAACTACCACAAAGGCCAAATGCATCTTATCACCAAACTGATAAGAGAAAGTGAATGAACTTCTCTTGTCCTTACATAATATTAAAAATGTTGGCGCAGGAAATTATATAATTATAAAATATAACAAATGACGCTATAAAAAATTTAGCTTCTGAATATATTTTTTATAATAGCAATCAAGATACAAAGAATCGTATAATATTGTTTTAATGAAAAAAGTATGTTAGAATAGATTTTACTTTATAAATATGTTTATTAAGCAAAACACTTCGAAACAAGCATCCATCCAGTTAATAAAATCAGAAAAACTAAAATTTGTTTCTTAAAATAATTTTAATAGATCTATACGTTCGAGACCCAATTTGACTTGAAGGTTGTTGTGAAGTTATGTTTCCATCGATCATGTTTTTATTTGTGTTTGTACCATAATAACTTGTGTGCTTTGTTCCACTGAGGAAGAGTCAAATTGGGACTCGAAACGTATGGATTTAATAAAATTATTTCTAGAAATATATTTTAGTTTAGTTTCTATTTTATTATCTGGATGGATGGCTATTAAGAAGTATTTTGTTAATCAACATATCATCTAAAAAATATTACATATATATATATATATATACATATATATATATATATAAATTTTGTTTTTATATGACGTAATAAATATGATAGTGAAAGGTATCAAAGTTCAGTAAACAAATCATTATAAAATACGTCAACGCTAATGATACGATTTTTGCTCCAGTTTCGAATCAGATATTCCGGAGTCACGCAGTTTATCAAATTAGTACATATTAAAAAATTGCAAATTCATTCACAAGATCGTAATTACATAATTCTTATAAAATTAAAAAGAAAAATAAATTTCAAAAATGTTATGTATCAAAGCTAGCTGAATTTCAAACGGACGGTCATTTATTTTAAAATATTTGCGAACAATGGTGTTTACGTAGAACTGTTTATGTAAGGAAATAGTAATATTCATTAGTAGTTCATTGACACTTATGCAAAATTGTTTTGCACAAGATATTTTCTCAATATAAATAATTATTAGGTGCCATGTGCAAAAATTAATTTAAAAAAGTCCTAATATACAAACAATCATTTTTAGAAATAAAGTTAAAATACAGTTTTAAAATCTATTTTTCCTACAGTTTTACTTATTGGCCATTTCAAAGCAGGTGTAAAAATTCAATATAATAAAAAAAACATGTTAAACATTTAATTCGAATCACCTTTAGAGATAAACTGAAGAAGTAAAATTGTTAATTAAAAGCTTCCTTGAACTTCAGGCAGAATAGATGCATTATAGAGCCATCTTTAAAGATAGTATACATTTTTTTGTGAATTAGAAGAATGTAATAGATTACGAATTTTTACTAAAAATATGAACTTTTCTGAGACTCTATCATCATATAAGTACGTACAAGATGATCTAATTCATAGACTTATAGAATCTCAAAAATGTTCATATTTTTGTAAGAATTCGTAATCTATTACATTTCTCTATTCCACAAAAAATGGACACTATCTTCAAAAATGGATAATGTCAATCTTTGTTCAAAAAATCAAAAAATTGTACGTTTTGGAAGCCAAGCTCGGTATTATAAAGTCTTCTACAAATAATATAAAAATTATAATATAATAAGCAATTAAATTAATTTTCAAAGAATTGCCTATGAAGAGGACTATGAGAATTACTATATTTATTAACTTTATTCCGCCTATAAAAAAAAATAAGCACACCTTCTAAGAAGATACCCAAAGAACATAATATTGATCAGAAATTGTAGATATATCTAACGGCGTATCTACTAAGAAAATACTATTTATTCAAAATGCATAAAATTCTCCGACTTACTTTTTACAATTCTCCATAAATTTAACTCCACAATCATTATATTTCCTCATGTCCAAACGCTTCTTTCCGAACGCCATCGTCAGGCCATTTAACCAGTTTTATTTAAATTGCAAATATCTGAAACGACATACAAGCTGCATACATAAATCAAAGTCCGTGCCCTTGTCTCCATAAATAATTCCACAATATGGGTTTCTTCGTGCAAAATCGTTTGTTTGTTTTATTTATTTTTTATTTGTTTTCATTTTATCGAAGCGCTTGGAGCAAACTAATTTTGATACCTTCGGTGATACAACATTAGTCATACATTTCTAAAAAACAAGGATTTAAACAACGTTGGTTCTTGACAAGTGAAAAATGTTAATTCCAAGTGCTATCAGCAAAAAACAGAAAAATATTTAAATTATTATATTTCTAGACTTTATTCGCTTGATTTAACATTAAAAATATTTATTTATTAGAGAGAATCTGGTCAAGTTCAAAGAGCAGTCAAATATGTGGAGCTCCGATATGACAGCGAGAGCAGCAATGATTTTGAGGCTATCAAACTATTAATTTTACAAAAAAACTGTTATTAAATGAATTGTAGAAAACTTTATTTAGTTTAATTCGTGCATAGCTACTTTTATCGTAGAATGAGCCAGAAAGGAGATATTTTTAGAAAACTGTTTTTTGGCGCCATTTTTCCAAATGGCAGCGATTTACCGTAAAAATTGGAGGTGGCAAAGTTGAAATTCGTAAAGAGCACCTCGAAATTCATAAGGTTACCAATTTTCAAAATACTAGGACTGTACCAGGAAAACGTTTTATTGAAATTTTTTTACTGGGATAAAATCATGTTTCGAAGATGCCAAAGAGTACTTGTAAATAAAATGCAGTAATGGGCCCTTTAACTTTGTCTTACGTAAAATATCACTAATAATAACTCACAATTTAAAAGTGAAATTTTTTAGTTGCAGTAACAGTTACAAACGACCTGCATTGAGACAAATCTCATTCTCCTAGATTTTGACGAAGCTCTCAATATAAAGATTCTATTTTCTTTATTTTATGGTAAAATAAAGTCTTACTTCTAATATTTTTCTGTCAATATTTGGATGAGAGTTTTGTATCCAAGAACATTCTGCTGCACAAGTTTCAAAAATCAGACATTTTCTTTGACAAATAAATAATAAATTGATATCAATAGAGTACCGATACCAAATTTATTTAAATGTACACAAATTAAAAAATAAAAGAGTAAAATATTTATATGAATATTTAAATATTTAAACAAAACGTATGAATTAAAAATTAAAATCAATGACGAATATTCAAAATTTTCCTATAAAAACAAACAAAATCACCTGAATTCTGTGTCACATCAAAGTCCATATTTAAAAAACAAGTTATGGCCTGATATAATATAAACAAATTCTTATTCATTTTATTAAACAATAAAATGCGCATATGTAATTATTGGCTATTTGAAGACTCGTTTCATAAATTTACATATTAAACTGTTAATCAACAATCAATTTCGATATTTAGTAAACTGCACGTTAGAAATGTATTATAGAGATTAGTATAGTGCAATTTTTAAGTACCTACTGCTTCGATATTTTTATTTTTAGTCATCGATAGACAAAATATCAGGTTCAAGAGAACTAAACAAATATGACCTTAAATAGTGTCCTCAACCAATTTAATTCATTTCATATCCAGATCAAACTAGACAGTGTAATTGGATGTGGAGACGATAATTGAGATAAATGGAAAAACTAGCTGTAAGTGGAATTCTGTCTTAAGGCAATTAAGGCATCGTGCCTTAAGGCAAATTGCTGGAACTTCCCGTGCCAAAAATTATTATTTTTTTAAAAACGATTAATATTTTTGAAAAAATTTTACTTCGAAAAAATAAGATTTTTTGGAAATTTTAAATTGGACAAAAAATTACTTTTTTTAAAAAAAAATTTTTTTTTAAAAAAAATTTTTAAACAATTTTTTTTATATAAATTTTTTTTGTAAAAAATGTTATCTTCATTTTGACATATTTTGGAAGATCTGAACTTTTTTTCAAAGCAATCGTACTGCTTTAACTGCATAGAGACAAAATATAAAGCGCGTAAGCGCCGCGTCGCTGTCTAACGGAAAAACATTGGTACGGAACCCATAGGAATGTAAACAAAACTTATACTTATTGTTAAAATCTCAATAAAATATCTGATAATTTGATATGCATATGTCTAATGTCTAATGATTATTGTTGACCGCCAAATGTTATTTTTTTTTAGTTTTTTTTACTAGATCTCCGAAACCGCTAGACCTATCTTCATGAAAATTTGATCAAATCTTCATCTTGTTAATACAAGTAAAATGTTTTTTGAACTATACAAATCGAACGCTCCGTTCTCTTAAAAACTGAGTTACCGCTTTTGGCCCTTTTTGCCCCATATCTTCGGAACGGACCTGCCTTTGACAAAAACTAATCAGCACGTCTCCTTATCAATACGAATCAAATGTTGTTTGAATTATTCAAATTGCTTCATCCGTGTTCCCGAAATCGTCGACGAAAATTTGTATCCGAACACACACACATGCACGCACACACACACACACACACATACATCAATTTTCTCCAAGGTATGCCAACATATTCAGAAACCTCTGAAACGTAAAGATATATAAAAATTTTCATTTTCGATTTTTTTGCGATTACTTACTCTATGGAAAGTTAATTATAAATAAATCAATTTATCATCTCCACAACATTAACAATCGTCATTTCATTTCGAATCAAATTCCAAAAAAAAAAATAGTTGCCAAATTTACACAAAATTGAAAAAGTGCTCCCGCATAGTCACAGTCTAAACGCATTTGCAAATAATTCTGTGCGACATTTTCACTTATACTGTGCTCAGCTTGGCGGCATTTTCACATTTTTCAATAATTTTCACAAAATTGGAAAAGTGCTCCAGTACACAAACAGTCTAAACGCACTTGGGAAAACATTTGTACCAGAGTGGCGCTTAGACTGTGCTTAGCTTGGGTGATTTTTGAATTTTTTATCTAAAATTACAAAAAAATTTTTTTGAAAAAAAAATTAGAAACAAAAAATTTTTTTTTCCAAAATCAATTATTTTGTTGAAAAAAGCAGAAAGTTCTTTGAATCATTTAAATCGGACGCTTAGTTCTCTCAAAAACAGCCATTTTTTTTAAATTTAGCTCTGTATCTCCGAAACCTCTGGGCCTACCTTTGCCAAAAACTAATCAGCACATCTCCCTATCAATAGGAATCGAATGTTTTTTAAACCATTCAAATCGGTTGATCCGTTCTCTCAAAAACTCGCTTTCTATTTTTTGCACTCTTTGCTCCATATCTCCGTAACGGCTGGACCTGCCTTTGCCAAAAACTAATCAGCACATCTCCCTATCAATAGGAATCGAATGTTTTTTAAACCATTCAAATCGGTTGATCCGTGCGCCCGAAAACGTGGACGAAAAAACGCGGACATACAAAACACACACACACACACACACACACACACACACACATCCATTTTTTCTGAGGTATGCCAAAATGTTCAGAAACCTTCAAAACGTCGAGAAATGTAAAAATTTTTGATTTCGATTTTTGGATGATTACTATAACTTACCCTACGGGAAGTTAATAACATCTATCTAGAGGCGTAGAGTAGTAACTATTCCATTATTGGAATAATCATCTTTTTAAAGATGAGTTAAGAATTTTAGTAGTGATAAGATATATAAAAATACTTTTTTTAATTACAGAAAATTCTAAAAGAATTCGACATATAAGAAAATATACCACTACTCCAGATCCTGAACTTCCGCCATGTGATTTTATGCCAAAGCCGTACAAGGTACATTATTAGACCAATTAAATCAAATGTAGAATATTAAGTTTCATGATAATTTTAAATATATAAGATATTTTATTTTGTTACCAATATTTATTTATAAATATTATTTATAATAGGGTCCTGACTATGATGCGGTACAAAATATAAGGCAGGGCCGTTTGGTGCCCTGTATTACTTCCTATTATAAAAAACCAGTATTAATACATCAAGGAAAAATGCAATGGTTATGGGATCATACAGGAAAAAGATATTTAGATATGTTCGGTGGAATTGTTACTGTCAGTGTTGGTCATTGTCATCCGTAAGTAAATGAAAGCTACTTGAAAACGTAGTATTTTTATATATTATTTTCCATCACTGGTTTAAATGCATTTTGTGACTCAAATTAACATATTTTCATCTATTCAATCTTTAATTTGATAATTGATAATATTTAATACCTTATAACAATTGATGACAAAAACACCAGTATTTTTTAACTTCTCTTACTTTTCTAGAAATATTTAAATATTTTATAATCTGGACAAAAAACAGTATCGATTATTGTAGTGTACTTACTGATTGTAGTCTTATTTTGGTTATTGTTCTTATCTATTTTGTAAAAAGTTTTCTACGAATTGTTTATCTTTGGACGTAATATATTCATCTCCAAATTCAAAAATTTAAGTAATAAGTAAATTAAAAGTATTTATATAAAGATGGGTGTGTGTATAATTTATCCTAATAATTAAAAATTATTTTTAGGAAAGTCAATGCAGCTTTGGCTGACCAAATGGATTCTCTATGGCACACCACAAATATTTATATGCACCCAAAAATACATGAATATGCCCAAAGATTGACTGATAAAATGCCAGGTGACCTCAAGGTAATAATGTATTAAAACAATAATTATAAAAATAACAATAATAGTCATAATAATATTATAGACATTTTATTAACGACTTTTTCCCGAAAGGGCTGGACCAACTTTTGCCAAAAACTAATCAGCACGTCTACTTATCAATAAGAATCTAATGATTTTTTGAATAATTCAAATCGGTTGAGCGGTGCTCCCGAAATCGTCGACAAAAAATTGTATCCACACATACATACATACTACATACACACACATTAGTTTTTTCTGAGGTGTACCGAAATATTTAGAAACCTCTGAAACGTGAAGTTATGCAAAAATTTTCATTTTCGAATTTTGGACGATGAAAATAAAAATGCTTAGCAAAATTTAGTTTTGACGAAAAAAATATCATTTATTCATTTAATACGTATTTACAAAATTTAATTACTTTTTACAAAAATAATATGCTATTTATGTTAATTATAAAAATATGATAACATTTTTAACTTCCCATAGGGTAAGTTATAGTAATCGCAAAAAATCAAAAATGAAAATTTTTGCGTATCTTTACGTTTCAAAACAGCATGAACATTTTGGCATATCTTAGAAAAAAAAATGTATGTTCTTGCGTATGTATGCATGTTTGGATACAATTTTTCGTCCCCGATTTAGGGCGTACGAATCAACCGATTTTGATAATTCAAAAAACATTCGATTTCTATTGATGGCAAAATCAGGCTTAGCCGTTTCGGAGATACGGGGCAAAAAGTGCCAAGAATGGTAATTCGGTTTTTGAGAAAACGGAGCATCCGATTTGGATGATTTATTCAAAAATATTGTACTTGTTACTGATAATTTATGAAATGAAGAATTGATTAAATTTTTGGTAAGGCAGTTTCAGTGGTTTCGGAGATACGGAGGAAAAAGTAAAATCATTATAAAGGAAAAAGTATGATCATTAGACATATGCATATCAAATTATCAGATATTTGATAGTTTTCAAAAATGAGTAATAATTTTGTTGGGTTTCGTACCAAGATTTTTACTTTTTTAATTTTCAAAGTTCACTTATACGGTTCAAGCAAATTTCAAAATTTTGAGAATTTTTTTTTTCAAATTTTCATCAAATATACAAAGTTTTATACTTTAAATATGAATTTTAAATTTACAATTCTGTTGAAAAATGTATTATGAATATATATTTGAATGCATTATGATATATATTTCAAATGCGTTATTGTAATCGTAAGAAATATATCCTCAGTTGGATTCGTTTAGCAACTCTTCTAATGTAAATATTTTCAAGTGTTTTGAGCGATAAGATTGTCACTGTATATTATATGAACGGATACATATACAGTAATTATAATTATATCTTCGAAAATATTTAAAACAATTATTAGTATAGTATTAAATCATTGATCACTATTTATTGATTACTGATTTGTTCCTTGAATATTTAATTCTGATACGGAAATTTCCAGCAATTTGCCTTAAGGCACGATGTCATACACCACTAGTTTTTTTTTTAATTATTACTCTTTTTGTACCAGTCCTTAGTTTCGTATAAGACGGATTCGCACGGTAGTTTTTGTTGTCTGTATGAGAATTTTTCTAATACTGATGAATACTTATATGATATTGATCAAGACTTTGTCTATTGTATTTTATTTTTTTTCAAAATAAATAATTATTTACCTTCTATTCAATTACTGAATGCCTTCTCAGGCAGTTGTAATTTAGATGGAAATAAAAAAAAAAAAAAATTACCTTCTATTCTTCATCTGTTCACTATTTCTAGGTAGTTTATTTTGTAAATTCCGGCTCGGAGGCGACTGATCTCGCCATGATGATGGCCCGCCTGCACACCGGACACCACGACATTCTGTCCTTCCGGAATGCTTATCACGGCATGGGCACTGCAGCCATGGGAATAACAGCACACAGCACATGGCGGTATACAATCCAGTATCACAAGCTGTACACCATGTAGGAAAATAACATCATTTCAATATTGTATTTTCATATAAAGTTACTTAATACTAACACTTCATCGAAATTCAAAACCAACACACAATTTGTATAGGGTCCGCCAAATAACTTTTTTTTTTAGGGGTACGACTTAAGCAAACCCACTGGGTACTCTGCACTCTTTACATTTCACTTTCAAATGAAAAAAGTGAAAATATTAGTGGTTTTTTGATAGAATTTTCAAACAAAAAGAAAATTGGCAAAATATTCAGTGGATTTTTTAAGGAATTTTCAAAAAAAGCTAGTTGGCGGACTCAATACATAATAGTAAGGACAAATGCCATAATAGGTAATACACTTTGG